TCTATCTGTCTATCTGTCTATCTGTCTATCTGTCTGTCTGTCTGTCTATCTGTCTATATATAGTCGTATATATAGTCAGTAAACCCCAAACATTTTTGGCACTAAGCCTCCTTTGTATTAGGACTATTGTTTAGCCCACAGCATCGTTGACATGTTCAAAGTTATTGTTTCAAAATTTCCCTCAACTTTATTTAAAATACTGTTATTCTTAAAAAAAAAAAACATGTTATTCTCAAAAAAAGGAAATTAGACCTGCCGTTACCCTAACTCTGCACCCTCCAAGGGGACCCCCCACCCACTTTGTTAAAGGTCAAAGTCAAAATAAGTACCAACCAGCCAAAGATAACAATAAGATTTGCCAATCCACAATAGTTTAGACAAAAGCTTAAAGCTAACCAAACATTTAGCTGGAAGTTTAAAGTTTTACAACAAACATAAAGATAAAAATGAAAAATTACAATTTAAAACTTACCAAAAATACTATGTTACAGTAGATTTAATTTTCTAAAGGCACATACAGAAATGTTTATCATTTCTCTCTGTTTCTTTACTCCTTCCTACATAAATAACTTACTTCTCTGTCTCACCTCTCCTCTGTGTCTTGTTTGTGCTCCAATTTCAACCTAATTTTTGAAATTTCATCACTGCGAGCAGGCAAAAATAATCAATCATTTGTCGATAGGACGACTGCAGCACTGTCCTACTGATGACTTTTCAGCTGATCTGTATTCAGCAGCCATAAGCTATTGACACAGAAGGTATTGATCAATTATTGTTGCTGAGTGTGCGCGAGTGTGCGAGTGTTTTTGTGTGTGGAGCCAGATGTAAAAAAAACATCTATATATATATATATATATATATATATATATATAATCTGCTGAATATAACCTGATTTCAGAGATGGAGAATGTGTGTGTGTGAAAACCCAAAATCCACTCACCATGTCTCAGTGGAGGCTGGATTCAAAGTGTCTGTGGCCCTGGGTGATGGAGCGGGGCACATAAGCAGGGGGCAGATATATAATAGTGGCTCCCTCCCCTGGCCTGTATCTTCAGCTCTATAAATACCCCATGCCTTCTTTAGTCAGAGCAGCAGGTAAAGAGGACCCTCTCCTCATCACTGTCAGCCACCATTGTCTGAGTTCATCAGATTTAGGGATATTTGCCAAACACACGTGCCCCCATTACTGTGCGACCAGAATAACAGCAGCACATAGCTGCGGCTCAGAGAGCAGACCCCTGTGTTGTGACTGGCAGCTGCACTTGATGAGATCCATCATCCCACTGTCCAGTTAGTGCTCCACTGGGACGGCAGCTATGATCTGTTTCTCGGTAGAACAGTGAGTAGAACTGTTAGCTGAAGCTTCCTGAGCCCCAGTAAGACCTTAACCACAGGGTGGAAAATGTTAGTGAGGAAACCTGTTTGGACCGTGGGTTTGGTCAACAGTGCTTTATTCTATTTGGAATGTTGGACCGCATCGTTAACAAAACATTTTGAAACTCATTTTCAAAGACCAGGTCATCTTATCCCAGAATAGTTACATTGAGGACAACTGGACAGAGTAGGTTTTCTTTTGAAGACGTTTCACCACTCATCCAAGAGGCTTCTTCAGTTCTGACTGATTACTGGGAAGTTCTGGTGTTTAGCTTCAAAGAGGCTGCACACCCGTAGCCGGGATCGTTGTAGAAAACAACACAACGTTGTTGGGGTGCACATATGTCACACAATGATTCACTATTGTCACTATCAAGGCCAGAGTGGCTAATCCGGACATTCTGGAGTTTTCCCGATGGGCTGGCCCATGTCAGTCTCGGTTTGGGCCGCTTGGATCATGAGCATAATTTAAACACATATCTCTCACTTATCTAATCTTATTTTTCTTCTCCATTCAACTATAGGCTACATTAATTATCCATGGCAGCGCAGCCGTAACACCACAGCAGATTAGATGGGTTCTAACATCTGAGGGAATTCTCGCCTCCCAATTGTTTCAGTTGGTTGGGCCACATTAAATAATGTTGGCACAGAACAGTGCGAAATGACTGTCAGTGGTGATGGAGGGTAGAAAGAGCAAGGACAGGTGGAGCCGTAAATTCGAGGTTATGAAAAAGAAAGGCGCTGGAAGAATAACAATTAACAGACATGTTTTCAAGAGGACATTTCACACACATAACTTGGCAGCTCCACTGCCCCATGTAATATACACCATCACAAATGTCCAGTCTCAAGATGGAAAAATCTATATTTTCATAATTCAGGGGGGGCAACAGTCTGAGCAGGGACACCCAGACTTCCCTCTCCACAGACACTTCCTCCAGCTCTTCTGGGGGGACCCCAAGGCGTTCCTTTGCCTTTGGCTCAGCTCCTTCTTCACAACAACGGACCAATACAGCGACTGCATTATTGCGGCTGCTGCACTGATCCGCCTGTCAATATCTCGTTCCATCCTTCCGTCACTCGTAAACAAGACCCCAAGATACTTAAACTCCTGAGACAGGATCTCCTCCCCAACCCGGAGGGTTTTTCCAGTTGAGAACCATGGCCTCAGACTTAGAGGTGCTGATTCTCATCCCAGCAGCTTCACACTCGACTACAAACCGCCCCAAAGCATGCTGCAGGTCCTGGCTCAAAAAAGCCAACAAGGCAACATCATCCGCAAAAAGCAAATGTGAAGGGTATAGAGCTGGTCCAGTGTTCCACAACCAGGATGAAAACCAGCCACCAGTTGGTGATCAGTTGAAAGCTCAGCCCCTCTCTTCACTCGAGTGTCCAATACATGCGGCCGAATGTCAGATGACACAACTACAAAGTCGATCATTGACCTCCGGCCTAGGGTGTCCTGGTGCCAAGTGTTTGTTATGGACAAATTGTGACTAGCACAGAAGTCCAATAGCAAAATACCACTCGGATTCAGATCAGGGAGGCCGTTCCTCCCGATCACGCACCTCCAGGTGTCACTGTCACTGCCCACGTGGGCGTTGAAGTCCCCCAACAGGACGATGGAGACCCGGCCACCAGGCACTCACCTGCGAGCCCCAACCCTGGGCCTGGCTGCAGGGTTGAGCCCCGGTAACACCAATCCGGGCGACGTGAGCTTCTTTGATTTGAATCTTTTCTTCATCAAGGGTAGTTTGAACCACTCTTAGTCTGATCCGTCATCTAGGACCTATTTGCCTTGGGAGACCCTACCAGGGGCAATAACCCCGGACAACATAGCTCCTAGGTTCATTCGGATACTCAAACTCCTTCACCACGTTAAGGTTGCGGTTCCAGGAGGGAATAATTCGTTTACAGTAAATATGAATTGCTTAGACACAAGAAGGGTGCTCTGTCCATTTGTATAAAATAAAGGTTCTCTGTAGGACAAATATGTTCTTGTGTTCTTGTGATGGATATGAACCATTACCAGGTGCATGCTGTTGGATAAATAGTGAAATAAGATGCTCTTTTCAGTTCTTACAATTGTAAATCTGACTCCAGAGAAGTCTCAGCAGCCATGAACCTCACCGCACATCACTGGTTTGAGCTTGAGAGCAGGACCTGCTCTTCTTGCAAAAACTTTGTTATCTGTGTTTATCTGATTCTCACACAATATAACCTCCTGACAGATGCTTATCATGTAATCAGGCTGGCATATAAGTTTCTATTGACCCTTTCAAGCACAGAAGTTGCATGTGAGTTGAGCTTCTCTGCATTAAAATTTGTGAAAAAAAGGAGCTCACTGTCTCAAGAACTCTTGGAGGCCTTCATGTTATTGTACACAGAGAAGGAAATTCTCATGTCTATAGACAATGACTAATGAACTTGCAGAAACCACTGCTTTGCTTAGGAGGATTTTGATGCTGATAGTAGCCTACTAAATATGTGTGTAGCTACTTAAGAGTTTGGTGTAAACCTAACAAAAGAACACCTTTGTGTTGGGAAAGCAAATGCAATTTTGATTTCAAATGACTGCTTCTGTACAAAGATAAATACATTTTCTTCTTTATCAAATTTTTTTACCCTTACAATATTTATCTGATTTCAATTTAAAATGAATCATTGTGAAAGTGAAGTGTTTTCTGTTAACTTAACAATAACAAGGCATTGTAGGAGCTAGCAGCTGTCTCATTTATTTAAATTCCTCCTCGATAGCAAAGTGGGCCGGATTTGGGCATAAAACTCCTGGGTCAAAAAAGGGACCTGCTGTGGCCCTGGTTACTAGTACACTTTTAAAAATGTTATTTATTTATAAATATATTATTTATTTAATTCCTTACCATCTACCAGCACCACCCTTGTGATCTACTGTAGATTGTGATCTCAATTGGGATGGATGGAGATGTTGAGCGGACAGTTATTTTGGGGAGCAACTCCCCGACCACCCCCGTATTTAAAAAGAATATTCAAAGAGACACTGCTGACATCTAAAGAGTTGTCTCAAAGCACGCCTTCACCGTCTCCACTGTGTGCTGATGTTTTTGAAAACACTCCCATTAGCTTCACTGACCAGTGACCTTGTGTCTGTTGACTGGTCATTCGCTGAGTTTGTCTCTGAATATTTTCACATACTGTAAACGAAAAAAACAAAAACAAAAACGTATTAACGAACAGTCTTAATTAAGGCCAAATTAGGTAGTCAGTATATTCATTCGGTAAGTGAATAAACTTAATCATTCATTTCTCCATTTTGTCCACTGGGTAGTGCTGTCTGCTCTTCTAAAGTGACTGACGGTATCACTGAATAGCATCTGTTTCAGCGTTTTCTAAATAGAATTAGTTAGTAGTAATTAGTAATTAATTAGGTGAAAGTCATTGGTTCATTATAAAACCACATCTTTTATTGTTATAACTGGAGATTTTTTTATATTATGAACTCACAAAGATTACATTTCATTTTAAAAACACTGTATTATTGTTTGAAGCTCGGTATTTTTAGACAATTTGGTGTAAATTAAGTCAAATCTTTAAATCCTAATGTTATTCACAGTTTTGTTGTCAATTTGTTCTGGAAATAGCTTCTAAATGACAGCTTGTGAGTTTAAGTCCATATTATCGTTCATAACAGTTTCTGTGACCCGCAGCCCGATCCAAACTTTACAAATGTAAATGTTAAATTTAAATGTATTTGTGCCTTTGAGAAGATGTAGGACAGCGATTCTAGCTCTGTACAGATGTTTATTCTGTTTTGCAAAAGTTTGGGTGAACGATGGTCAAAGGTCAGAAAAAATGAAGATTACATCATCGTCAAACTGTGTTGTCAAACACAATTTTTTCCTCGCTGAAATAGAAAAAACACAAGAAAAACGCAGCAATGGAGGGAGGATGAACTTGAATAACAAACCTTACAATTTTCGCAAGTATTATCTTTTAAATGTTTAGACATTTTGTCTTAAGTTTTAATGCCTTTAATACCTCTTTAGGTTGAGCATTTTCTGACATTTCTAGTCATTTGCTTGATTATCTTTTGTTTATCTGAAAGCATATAAGCTTTTTCTTTTTTTTTTACACAGTTTCACTTTTGATTGCCTCACTTTTTTTTTACTTGTCTTTACTGTTTTAGTATAACAAACTTTCATGAAAAACAGACCAAGTGATCTAGAAGGATTTTCAAAGTTGTAAAACCTAATATTTCTAACACTAATAAGTAAAAATGGTAAGGTATGGCGCACTGTGTTGTATAAATCAGCCCAGAAACTTGGCTTGGATTTAATTACATAACTGTGTTATGAAATATCGCCAACAAACCTTCATGTGCTGATAAAAGTTGAACAAATAGACCAGTGCTTGTTGTGTGTAAAATAAACCCTACTGCTGCTGCTGCTCAGAGTGTGGTGTCAGCAGGGGGAGCACCTGCCACTGCTGCTGCTGCACGTGTGCTCCCTCATGACAGCCATGACTTTTCACTGGAGGAGACAAAGGAGCAAGAACAAGTAAAGTATGTAGGTTATAAGTGCTGAGAGCAGCATCAGCATCAGCATTGTTAAACACCTCACACTTTATGCTTATTTATTTGTTTACAGTATTTTAGAAAGTTATCTTTCCACCTGCAGCCAGGTTATTTATCGTCACATATTGCGTACACATATCATTTTTCAGCATTCTTTGCAGTAACTTCAGTGTAAAATTAGATAGCCCCTCCACCCCTTTCCCCCAAATACACTCAAAACAAATACTCTACTATACTATACACAAAGAATTCTGCAGGTCGTTCTTCACAGGCTTGTGTAGAATTGAATAGCATTGGAGAATATTACCAGACCAAACATGCCTTTTATTACATACAATGTTAAATGTGAACCATGGACATTTCCTTTAAATTGTAGAAAACACATAGGACAATCATTGGTGTTTTGTTTAGTTTTTTAAATTTGAATATGTTAGATTGTTAGGTTGTTGTCTTTACAAATGTTACTAGTATTTCAGGCATTTGGCAATTTATCCAATAAAAAGGACTAAAAAGTTGTCAAAAATGTATAAACCAAATCTCAAATACCATTAAGAAGCTTCTTTATAAATCAATGATTTATTTATATGCTACTGTTTAAGACAGCATCATCACTGTTGTCATCACCATCATCATCATCTTCATCTTCTTCCTCTGTCTTTTGCAGACAGTATTGATCACTCCTGAACTGTATTTGCAAGTTACTGGTTAACTAAGTAGTTAATAATTCATTGATTAATCGACTAACTATTGAAAAACCCAAAGTCTAATGATTAGTATTTATGATAACATGTCTGTACAGAAAGTTTTAAATTATATAGTACATGTCGTACAAGTCTGGTGTTTATTTTATTTGACTTGTCATTGGGCTAATAAAGAATGACTTTATCTTTACTAAAAACAATAATTTGATAAGAAATTAGATAGATAAATAGATAGATAGATAGATTAAGGACGGATGAGAAATAGACTAATAGACTCTTAATAAAAGTTTTTTTTTTTCATTTTAAACACATTCAATATTAGGTGTCAGCAAATAAATTTGAAGCTTAATTTGCAATAAATTAGTTAAATATTTTCCTATCAATCAATTCACTATTTTAATGATTACAAAAATGCTACTAATGTAGTACAGATGGCAAAAATATAACATTTAAGAATGAGTTTATGTAAAGAAGAAGAAGAAGAAAAAATAATCAATACAACTAGTCGATTTTCAGAAACAGATGTCAATTTATTTTGTAACAGATTATCGATTAATCAACTAATTTGTTAAGCGTATGAAACATAATTTTAAAGCAAATGTGAACAACTCTCTTGGCCACACAGCCACCAGCACCTTTATTATTTTTTTTCTTTTTTTGTGTCTTTTACAGACATTATCGATCAGCCCGGGACTTTTTTGACGTCACTATTGATAACTTTGCCAAATCACAAATGAAACAGTCGAGTTTATGTGGAAGACGCAGGGACGCTGTCGGTTTTTAATTTTTTTTTAGTTGCTCCAGATTAAAACCGTGCTGTGGGACTTGTAAAACATTTGTCAGGCCTCTAGTGTTTTTTTTAACCCCCCGGTAGTTGTTTTTAAAAAAAAGGGGAGGGGCGGGGGGTGAAGGAAGGAAGGAAGGAAGGAAGGAAGGAGGCAAAAATCCAGCCCACATATTTATTGCAGCCGCTGAAAAAACTCTCCTCAGAAGAGGAAGATGGCCGCCGATGTAGGATCGATGTTTCAATATTGGAAGAAATTTGATCTACGGCGGCTGCAGGTTAGTGCTTTCCCCCGCTTTCCCTCGCTGCTTCAGCGGTCAGTCTAAGTGCTGCGTCCCCGGCCATGAGTCGCTGGCTGCCGGTGCGAGCGTCAGACTGTGGCCGCTGGTGTTTTCTTTGCATTGATAGTTATCAGGGAATTGATCCCATGCT